CGACAATACAGAGACCCGGATATTTTATGTTCAAGTGAGTATTAGAACTCGAGGTCAGGTGACCAATAGAGGTCACATATAGATCAAATGTGTGCTACTAGGAAAACTTCTAGCACTCTCACACGGATAGTAACGAAAATAACTGTCAAGGTCATATCTTTGGGTAAATTTTAGCGAGGGAACTACGGTGCCCGTCACAGATGATTTTTAACCGATACTGTTCTTGCAGGTTGTATTTGAAAAAATTTAAGGTGGAAATGACCTTGGAGGTGAGGTTCCTAAAGTTGATCGTAGATTAGCCTTGAAGGTACGAGGGATGTCTTTCAAGTTTTGCATATAGAAACATTCCGGAAACTCAAAAAATGTGTACAGCATTGTTAGTGCTGATGAATTGTGGATTTAATGTTATGAACCAGAAAATAAACGATAGTCGGCTGTTTGGGTGTTCCAAAGTGAAGAAAAGCCAACAAAAGTCATCCGTTCTCGAAGTGTTTCGAAAAAGATGGTCGCGACATTTGTGTCAAAAGCGGGTCATATTGCAACAATTCCTCTTAATGAGCAATGAACTGTTACTGCGGATTGGTATACCACCATTTGTTTGTCAAAACTCATCACCGAGCTTCAAATAATCAACCCCGAAAGAAGAATCACCCTCCACCACGACAATGCAAGCTCGCATACAGCCCAAAAAACAAGACAGTATTTAATGAAAGAAAACGTGGAATTATTGGACCATCCTCCATATAGTCCCGATCTAAGTCCTAACGATTTCTTTACCCGAAACATAAAAACGGACTGCGTGATCAAAGGTTCCAGTCACCAGAAGAAGCAGTTGACGCATTCAAAAATGCCGTTTTGGGTCTGCCAGCAAACGAGTGCAATAAGTGCTTCGAAAAACAATAAAGTCATTTAAAAATACCTACCGTGTTGCTTTATTTCCATATGCAAAACTTAAAAGACATCGCTCGTAAAGGTCAACGTTATATTCAAGGTCACCGTTGAATTCCTCTCTAAAAGTTACTGAAGGCTTGACCTTGATCTTTTCCAAAAATACCTTATCCGAGAAAATACAGAGCCGTTCCTCGACTCTTGTCTCACTCTGTATACGACTGTTTAATATGAAAATACCCATATTCTGAAAAGCAGGTGGATCATAATGGTGTGCAATGAAGATAAAACTGCGCTTTAGGTAGTTGCAATTTACAGGAACCTGACATAATTAAATAAACTAATTTGAAAACTTATAATATCGCTTCCATTTCGTCCGACCTTTCATGCACAACGCTGTTTCACGCTTATTGGCAGTTATCGATACGCTCTAGATGGAGCAGTGATAGAAATCATGGCAAAAATAGCTTCCATCAGAGGAACGCAGTCCATAGAAATGCGACGTACAGTCTATCACAGTTTGAACGTCGTCTGCAAAATTTCCCTGTACTATTGAGCGAACATCCCGCTTTCCATTCAAAGGATTATCGGGTGGTCCGATTCCGTGGAAAAATTCGAAAACTTGGATTATGTCACGTTAGCTGGATATTTTCGTACCACGTCAAATGCGTAAATTGGTTTTCAACTGTTTGAGGTTCCACGGATTACGTATCAACAGGAACGTTACTTTTTTCAATTTTAGTTTTGAAACGCTTGGCTTTATTGAGAACATGAAGTGATTGGATTCAGCATTGTTTGTATACATTTTACGCATGATTACAGAGAGATACTCCTTGATTCTCTTGCCTACTGGAGCTAGCCTTCATTCACTTCTTGTTCACTTGTAGCATCTGCTCCACAGATGGCGCTAGAGATGTCATTCTTTACTATATAAGTCGTTGTTGCATTCCGTGAGGGCTAGCGGGATGATGTAAGCCTCGAGGGGGCGGGACTGCGATTGAGAATTGAAGAGCTGGAAGGTACACCAAGATTTCACACATGCATGAGAAAGAAAATCATGACAATTCGGAAAACCTCAAGGGGGAGTTCACCTAGAGGTGTTCTTCCACTCAACCCTTGCCAATAGTAGCATACATGTAAAAATATATCCTAACCTAACACTAACCATTTGTAAATTCTTTCAAAAAGAACTGTCCTGTGAGATAGTATATTGTTTAGGTACTTAAGTCTCGTATCAGCATTAAAGACACCTGAGCGAAATGACACCTCTTGGTAGACAGTATCTTGTGAAATAAACATGAAACAAACAAGCTCAATCTTTTATCCATGTTAGTCAGTTCAATTCCTTCAATCTGTGAAAAACCTGCTCACACTTTTTAATCCCGTATAAGAATCGAGTGGACGAGTTAGATTTCGGCACTCTCCTGGATCCGCAGTCGGTTCTTAATGCTAATTTTACTAATAATTTTCGTGTTAATATTCATGCTGAGTGAAAGGCGAAAAGCATGTTATCTCCACGTCGCCCAGCCAGTAACTTATCGACCCTCTTTTTCCCGAGCGTACAGAAAACAATTACCTTTGGCCGTTCTGTGGGAGAAAAAAACTTTCCACAACTCAAAGTAATCCCAACTGATAAGCCCTTTATTACGAATTCGCAAAGGGGCCGCCGGCGAGCTTGTTGCGATTTTGTTGCCGGGGAAAATGCAAAATGGATTTGCGCATACATACACGGGATAACTTTTTCTCGACATTTACATATCTCTTGTATTGTAAGGGTAAACGTGAGTGTGAAAGTTTCGGCATATTTTCGGATCCTATTTATGGTACGGAGCTTCTTGCTTCATAGGCTTAGACGAAGCTAGCTAGCAAAAAATCGATCCTTTTTTGATGAAGTGGCATAATGTAGTTTGACTTTTTACGTCTCGCCCACCGCTGTCATCAGTTCGTATAGGATTACCAATTCACAACATTCACAAGATTCCCAAAATTCACAAAATTCACAAAATTCACAATTCAAAAAATTTCACAAAATTCACAAAATTCACAATTTTTACAAATTTTACAAAATTCATAAGTCACAAAATTCGCAAAATTCACAAAATTCACAAATTCACAAAACTCACAAAATTCACATAATTCACAAAACTCATAAAATTCACAGAATTCACAAAATGCACAAAATTCACAAAATTCACAAAATTCACAAAATTCACAAAACTCATAAAATTCACAAAATTCACAAAATTCACAAAATTCACAAAATTCACAAAATTCACAAAATTCACAAAATTCACAAAATTCACAAAATTCACAAAATTCACAAAATTCACAAAATTCACAAAATTCACAAAATTCACAAAATTCACAAAATTCACAAAATTCACAAAATTCACAAAATTCACAAAATTCACAAAATTCACAAAATTCACAAAATTCACAAAATTCACAAAATTCACAAAATTCACAAAATTCACAAAATTCAAAAAATTCGCAAAATCACAAAATTGACAAAATTCACAAATATCACAAAATTCGCGAAATTCACACAATTTACGAATCTCTTGTATTATAAAGGTAAACGTGAGTGTCAAGGTTTCGGCATATTTTCGGATCCTATTTATGGTACGGAGCTTCTTGCTTTATATAGACTTAGACCAAGCGAGCTAGCAAAGAATCGTTTGTTTATGAAATGGGGTTAATTAGGTTGACTCTTCACGTCTCACGCTCTGCTGTCATCAATTTGTAAGTGTTCAGGTTCAGCCCAAGATTATCCTCTTGAGAAAAAAAGTAACTACGGCCGCGTATAACTAAAAGTCAAGTGGATCAAGTAAGTCAAACAGGCTCATGCAATTAAAGTTTCTATCTTTAGCACGCTTTTGTGTATAATTTTGGGATTTGCTCCTACCCCCTCCATTAGTAAATGTGCTCTTCTATTCTTCAAATAGTTTCGAGGGCAGATACGCACAAAGTTATCTCTTGCTGTCATCCAACTTTAAGAATATCAGCTTGGTCGTGTAGTTGTTCTACCGCCCAATAGAGTGCGAAACATGTTCCTGTTAACAGTAAGTGTGTAACTTTATTATTTACTCTACGATTGTTACAGAATAGGCATTCAACTTTAACTTCATCAGCCAGGTACAGTCTCTGAGATCCAGTTAATAGCTTGTTGACTTTATCTCCTTTACGAAATGAAAAAACAAATGAGCTGGACTTACTAGAATTTATTGACAGGTTTTTTTTTTTTTTTTTTTTTTTTTTTTTTTTTTTTTATACTCCAACTACCACGAAGGCCTAAGGCCTAAGCACCCATCGGGTACCGTGGGGCTATGGGGGATACATGGGAAAGGGGGGACGCCACACGGACTCTGGCGAGGGAACACGTGTGCATGCAACATGCACACATTCTGGCTCCGCCTACGAGAACCGCCGGGTGGTACCTCCGCGTTCGACAGTCAGAGACCATCTACCACCTACGGACAATCACAACATCCATGGCCAAGAGAAACATTTCTCCTGGGACGGGACTCGAACCCGCACAGCGCACGGCGGCTGATCAGGAGACCGAAGAGTCTACTACTGCGGCCACCGCTGCTGCCTAAAACAAACACACAACATCCATGGCGAAGGCGAGATTCGAACTCGCGGCCCGGCCGGCCGGCTGATCAGTAGCACGACACTCTGACCTACGCGGCCAACCGAGGTCCCAGGTTGAAGTTATCCCGCATTTCATACACTTTCTGAATAATCATAGTTTATTGGTACCTGCGTCATTTCTATTTTCTATATCATCAGTATCAAAAAGTTGGACCAGTTGAGTATCGTCCACGAACAACTGGAGTTCACAGAAGCTCACAGTTTTATCTATACTAGCGCATATTATATGTCACCAACATACTGTGCATCTACATGGGAAGCATTGAAAAGGTCAAGTTTTATTATAAAAATGTGTTGTGTTCCTGAGATGCCAGCCATATGTCGGTCTCGCCGCGTGTTGTATTCTGCAGTCAGTTTCTTGTAAATATAAAATTTTATTTATTCATATATGGATCGCCAGGGAATCTGAACTCCAGCTGGCTTCAAGGGATTGAAAAATATTTTTCCATTGTTTCCAGACAAGACGCATGTGAGAAAAACAGAGAAAACGGAGAACCTTGGTAGTCTGAATGTTTTTCAATTCCTTATACAGGGTGACCCAAGGAAAAGGTAGCACCCCCACTGGTGTATTTTGGAAAAAACGCTCAGGCACGTCAATTTTGATTTATAGGGGGACGTCTTTTCAACCATAGCCGTACAATAAAGGGCGATAGTAGTTTTGATTACTACCTGGTGATCAGTTGGATATTTCATCTAAAAAAAAAAAACAGTAAAATATGACAGCTCGCATATTTGCTGTCCTGACAGGTAGATTGGGGAATTTTGTGTTGAACGTTCCTATTATACTCAATTTTAACCTACTTCATCCATTTTCTTGAATATTTCGGATTGTCAGAAGATGGTGGCCAAGAATCTGAGCTTCCTTACGAAACACTTGAACAAAGAAAGTCCTGTCTAACAATGTTTCAAACCACGATGGCGTTTCTATGGCTCAACGTTAGAAAGGCCGGGCGAAAATTTACTCTTGCCGGCTCATAATGCTTGGATAGCTTTTTGCAAGCGTGAGAAGATTATTTCCTCTGTTTTCCTGTAGGGAAAGGTTTACGTAAAGTACAAAGGGATATTAAGTGAGTTTGCTTGTAAACTGAGTTGGATCGGATTATGGTGGTGATTAACCTTGAGTGTTTTGTTTTCTACAATCCGATGTAAAAGTTTATAAGTATTAATAGACACTCCGGAGATCAAAGCCAACTCTCCTAAAATTGAAGACGCAAAGGATTTAAGCAGGCAGGAGTCTCGTTTCGTAATTTGCTGTGTAAAAGGGGGGAATTTTCCGTGTTTACAACCCCTAAGACTTATTAGACAATGTTAAAGGACACACACAAAAGTGTATGTTATTCGGAGGCATCTGGCGGCTGTTTTAATTTTTAAGCAAGGCCAGTGAGACGTACGGGTACAACAAGCTTCATGTAATATATTTGGTATAACATACGAATACTCACAGAAAGATAAAGATTCTTTAAAGGGTAAATTAATGAACATTGCAACAACACTGCCAACTAATCTTACGTAATTACAGTTATCAGTGATAATAAACATAAACATTGCAAAATTCGCAAAATTAATAAATTCACAAAATTTGCAAAATTCACAAAATTCACTAAATTCACAAAACTCACTACATTCGCAAAATTCACAAAATTCACTAATTCACTAAATTCTCAAAATTCACAAAATTAGCAAGACTCACAAAATTCACAAAATTCACAAAATTCACAAAATTCACAAAATTCACAAAATTCACAAAATTCACAAAATTCACAAAATTCACAAAATTCACAAAATTCACAAAATTCACAAAATTCACAAAATCCACAAAATTCACAAAACTCACAAAATTCACAATAGTCGTAAAATTGGCAAAATTCACAAAATTCACAAAATTCACATAATTCACAAAATTCACAAAATTCACAAAAATCACAAAATTCACAAAATTCACAAAATTCACAAAATTCACAAAATTCACAAAATTCACAAAATTCACAAAATTCACAAAATTCACAAAATTCACAAAATTCACAAAATTTACAAAATTCACAAAATTCACAAAGTTCACAAAAATCACAAAGTTCACAAAATTCACAAAATTCACAAACATTACTAAATTCACAAAATTTACCAAATTGACCAAATTGACTAAATTGGGTAAATTCACAAAATCTTCAAAATTCACAAAATTGACAGAATTCCCAAAATTGACAAAATTCACAAACTTTACTAAATTCACAAAATTTACAAAATTGACCAAATCGGCTAAATTGAGTAAATTCGGAAAATCTTCAAAATTCACAAAATTGACAAATTCAAAAAATTCACGAGATTCACAAAATTCACAAGTCACAAAGTTCACATAAATCAAAAAATTCACGAAAATCAAATTTCATAAATTCCATGAAATTTGCAAAATCCGCAACATTCTCAAAATTCACAAAGCTCACAAATTTTACAAATTTAAAAAATTCTAAAAACTCAAGAAATCCATAAAATTCACAAAAATCACAAAATTTGCAAACTTCACAAAATTTACAAAATTCGCAAAGTTACAAAATTCACTAAATCTGCAAGATTTCTTAAATTTCCAAAATTCACAAAATGTCCAAAACTCAAAATTCCATGAATTAGTAAGCTTCCAAGGTACCGAAGTCCCAAAGGTCTAAAATACCCACATTTCCAAAAATTCACAAAATTACCAGAATTCCCAAAATCCCACAAATTGCCAAAATTCTCAATATCAGATGCAGGTACAATAAGCTACAAATAATATATTTGCTATCTGGTGGGAGTACTTACATAATGATAAAGATCCCTTAAAGGATGAATTGGTAAACATTGCAACAACATTGTGAAATAAGATTACATATGTTAACTACAGTTATCAGAGATAATAAATTCAAACGTTGTAGTCAACAAAAGGTATGGAACTACTGAAATGCTAGAACTCATTAAGGGAGAAATTGTAAATCGAGTCGTTATTTTGCCGTATCAAACTAAAAATACGGGGAAATATAAGTACTTAGGATGCAGAGTTGAGCTACTCGACACAATTCAAACACACTGGTAGAGAACCTACCGCAGGATTTCCTTTATCTGTATAGGGTGACTATCGCATGAATCAATCTGTTTTGGAAATCCGTTACGTAGAATAGCGAGATCCTTCAGGGTATGACAAAAATACGTATGAATTTAAAATTTATAAAATTGTTTTTGGGATTTGTTGGTTATTTTTTCACCATAACAAAGATCATACTACACAACGAACTGCATCGCAGGGTTTCGTATATCTCCGTTCCAGGTTATGAAGTTCTAAACTAGATTATGAGGGTAGTTTTGGCTAGCAGATGCTAGTATTAATGTGTTTTGATTTGAAACAGAAGCACAGTGTAGCAATGCTCAAGTCTGGAGTGCGTATTGTGGAAAGGAATCCTTTGTATTCCCGTTTCGGCTTGTTACACATGCTTTTCGCATCCTCAGTCGATAAACCCGAATCTGACCAAACTGACATTGTGTTTAGAATCTTCAAACCCGATTTGCCCAGAACAGGGTCATGCACAGTACAAATGCACAAGAAATATTTTATAGTACACTCCAACATAACCTTATCTTGAAAACGGAACGTAGACTCCAGATTCGGATTCAGTAACTCAAAAAACGTGTTGCTGTTGCAAATCTCGACGCAAGGTGAGCTGATCCTCAATGGCCGCGTGAAAGTTTGTTGTATCCCTAGGATTTATGGTGTAAAATGAGCCGGAAAATCCCAACAGAACTTCGCCCAAGAAAAGTTTCTTTGTTCTTCTCGCGAATCTAAAAGTCGGTCGAAAAAATATATGGCGTGCGTGGCGTGACCAAGCAAGTAAAACGACATCGGAGTGAATAACCCGATTTCTTGCATGTCAACGATACGGTGATTATGAACGATTGAATGTGGAAAATGGCATGTTCCTGCATGACTATAAACCAGTCACCATAAAAGTAATTTTAAGCAAGAGTCCAAGCAAAAAAGGCATGTGAACATATCCACCTACAAGGTTACAAAAGCTGGCCCCCATGCCCCCTTATACAAACTTCCGTGAAATTCGTAAATTTCGTAAAATTCTAAAATTCGTAAAATTCGTAAAATATTTAAAATTTGTAAAATTCGTAAAATTGGTGTAATTCGCAAAATCCGTAAAATTCGTAAAATTTGTAAAATTTGTAATATTTGTAAAAATCGTAAATTCATAAAATTCGTAGAACTCGTAAAATGAGTAAAATTCATAAGATTCGAAAAATTCGTGAAATTCGTAAAATTCGTGTAATTCGTAAAATTCGTCCAATTCTTAAAAGTCGTAAACTTCGTAAAATCCGTAAATTCATAAAATTCGTAAAATCAGTAAAATTCGTAAAATTCGTAGAATTCGTAAAATTCGTAAAACTCGTAAAATTGGTAAAATTCGTAGAATTAGTAAAATTCGTAATATTCATAAACATCGTAAAATTTGTAGAAGTCGTAAAATTCTTAAAATTAGTAAAATTCGTAAATTCTTATATTCGTGAAATTTGTACAATTCTAAAATTCGTAAAATTCGTAAAATTCTTGAAATTCGAAAAATTCGTAAAATTCGTAAGATTCGTAAAATTCGTAAAATTCCAAATATTCGTAAACTTCGTAAAATTTGTAAAATTCGTAAAATTAGTGTAATTCGCAAAATCCGTAAAATTCGTAGAATTTGTAAAATTTGTAATATTTGTAAAAATCGTAAATTCATAAAATTCGTAGAACTCGTAAAATCAGTAAAATTCGTAAGATTCGAAAAATTCGTAAAATTCGTGAAACTCGTAAAATTGGTAAAATTCGTAAAAATTCGTAATAAACATCCTAAAATTTGTGGAATTCGTAAAATTCGTAAACTTCTTATATCCGTGAAATGCGTACAATTCTAAAATCGTAAAATTCGTACAGTTCTTGAAATTCGAAAAACTCGTAAAATTCGTAAGATTCGTAAAATTCGTAAACTTCGTAAAATTTGTAGAATTCGTAAAATTCGTAAAATTCGTAAAATTCGTAAAATTCGTAAAATTTGTTAAATTCGTGAAATTCGTAAGATTCGTAAGTTCGTAAAATTCGTAAAATTCCATGAAATTCGTAAAATTCATGTAATTCGTAAAATTCGTCAAATTCGTAAAAGTCGTAAAATTACTAAAATTCGTAAAATTCGTATATTCGTAGAATTCCTGGAATTCGTAAAATCAGTAAAATTCATAAAATTCGTAAAATTCGTAAAACTCATAAAATTGGTATAATTCATAGAATTCGTAATATTCGTAAACTTCATACGATTGGTAGAATTCGTAAAATTCGTAAAATTGTAAAATTCGTAAAATTCGTAAAATTCGTAATATTCTTATATTCGTACAATTCTAAAATTCGTAAAATTCGTAAGATTCGTTAAATTCGTGAAATTCGTAAAATTCGTGAAATTCGAAAAATTCGTAAAATTCGTAAAATTCGTGAAATTCGTAAAATTCGTAAAATTCGTAAAATTCGTAAAATTCGTAAAATTCTTAAAATTCGTAAAATTCGTAAAATCGTGAAATCCGTAAAATAAAATTCGTAAAATTTGTAAAACTATTAAAATTCACAAAATTCACAAAGTTCCCAAAATTGACAAAATTCAAAAAATGCGCAAAGTTCACACAAGTATCAAGTTACATAGAATCACCAAAATTCACAAAATTTCCGAAACTCCTGAAATTCCCTGAATTCCTAAATTCCAAAAATTCACAAAACCCACAAATTTCCCAAAATTCACAAAATAGCCGGAATTCCCATAATCCCACAGACTACCGACATTTAAATGTCACCAAAATTGTAAATATAAAATTCACGAATTCTGAAAAATGTCCAAATTGTTTAAGGTGACAACGTTTACAAAATTCCAACATTTCACAATATTCCAAAAGTGCATCCAAATCCTGATATTTTCAAAGTTCCCAAAATATCCAGAGCGGCCGAAACTCCTATATCCCAGAAATCTGCAAAATTCCCAAACGTTCTCTAACTTCCAGAAGCTTTCTAGGATCTCAAAGTTCCTGAAATACCCAAAATTTACGAAATTTCCGACATTCTCAGTTGTCAAAATGCACAAAATTCAAAAGAACCGAAATCCAGATATTCAAAGTTCTCGTTTTGCCGCGTCTGTGTGGCAACTTCAACGTCCAATCTTAATGCTGCTTGTACTGCTAGCTTTACTGAACTGTTGGTATCAAGTCACGCGCTGCTACTACAACACCTGCACTATTGGAGGTCATATAGCGTGTTGTAGTTGAACAAACGTCATCCCGTTTTATGGTAACAACCATGATGAGGAAAGATGCGATCGACTATAACAGTATTTTGGTGTTTCCCCGCAACCAAAATGTCACTAACCCCATAGCGAAACACGAAAAGACGTCGGAATACGTGCGGTAAGGGTGGATTAAGGGATTTACACTGGAGAAGGGGAGAAATCGTAAAATTTTGTGATGATATGATGCCGAGGAACAAGGATGAAGTTGTTTGTTCTGAAGGGCGGACGAGCCAGCGTCATAACCCCGCAAATTTTCACGTTTCAAGAGGGCTTTTTATCGTAAATACTTCAACGGTGCAGGTGCGAAGCACCGGATTTGCTTGCTATACCGAAGAATATTTATCTGAATAAATATCCTACGATTCTTCGATTGATTTTGGGGCAGACAGTAGTTTTTCAATTGTTTAACGATCAGCAAAAAATGAATCTGAGACATGTTTTACATTGACCCTGAATCCGCAAAATTCTTTATGAATTGAGTTCCTCATTCCGTCAAATAAGTCCATGAAGCTGTTCGTGGATTGCGTCACGAAATTGGAACTTGTTCCACTTTTTGGTAAGCTGGACGTCAAATTCCATGGTGGAAACCCTGTTTTCTTTCCATTATATTCAATAAATTTTTAGTTAAACTATAGTACTTTGATAGAACTACAGTATTCAACAATATGATTTCTGTTTATGAGATTCCCCTCAAAATCAAAATCACAGTAGACATGAAAGCTCACAATGTTTCTCTTCACGTTATTTAGTTGTTTCAGGAATTTCGACAGAATTTGATTGGAATGAACTTTAGAGATTTAGTGAATTTTACAAATGCTGTCAGTTTTATTGATTTTGGGAGTTTTTTATTATCGGGAATTTTGGAAATGCTCCGAGTTTTGCGAAAATTGAGAGTTTTGATAATTTGTGGCAATTTCGGATTCTGGAAATTTTGTGAATTTTGAGTTTTGTGAATTTCTTGAGTTTTGGAAATCTTGAGACTTTTGCGAATTACGGGAATTTATGAGAATTGTTTGAATGTTGAGAATTTTGATAATTTTGAATATTTTGAGAATTTTGAGAATTTTGAGAATTTTGAGAATTTTGAGAATCTTGAGAATTTTAAGAATCTTGAGAATTTTAAGAATTTTGAGAATTTTGAGAATTTTGAGAATTTTGAGAATTTTGAGAATTTTGAGAATTTGAGAATTTTGAGAATTTTGAGAATTTTGAGAATTTTGAGAATTTTGAGAATTTTGAGAATTTTGAGAATTTTGAGAATTTTGAGAATTTTGAGAATTTTGAGAATTTTGAGAATTTTGAGAATTTTGAGAATTTTGAGAATTTTGAGAATTTTGTGAATTTTGAGAATTTTGAGAATTTTGAGAATTTTGAGTATTTTGAGAATTTTGAGAATTTTGAGAATTTTGAGAATTTCGAGAATTTCGAGAATTTCGGGAATTTCGGGAATTTCGGGAATTTCGAGAATTTTGAGAAATTCGAGAAATTTTGAGAATTTTGAGAATTTTGGACTTTTTAGAACTTTGGAAATTTTGACAATTTTGTGCATTTTGGACTTTTTAGAACTTTGGAAATTTCAGGAATATCGAGAACTTTGGACATTTTGGGTGTTTTTTAATTTTTGCAACTTCTGGAAACTTTGATAATCATTGGGATTATTAGAATATTTAAAATTTTTGCTAATTTTGAAAATCTAGTTAGTAAGAGTTTTGAAAATTTTGTTGGTATTAGAAATGTTTAGATCTTTTAAACATTTTTTTTAAGCCCAATGTCTTGAAAACTTCTGAAGCCTCCCATTTCTGACGTTACACGTACAAGCCTCCATATTCGTGTCCGTGCCAAGGTATAAAATAGGAAACCTTAATCCTTGGACTTCTATAGCTTTACACCGTCACACGACCACATTTTAAAGCGTAAAAGGGGACTATTAAGGACGCAGAACATGAAGTTGCGCAGCTGTAGTTATTCCTGTTTATGTCGGACAGAGCGCTGCACAAAGCGGCGAAATGAAGGGCGTTTCCTTCCCGGAAATATTCAATTATACCTTTAGCACACCAACCAGCGATATTTGCATTCTTATGAAGGTATAGTCGCAAGTATAACGCGAGAATTCGAGAATATTTTATACCGGAAGGTGTAGTAACTGTATCCTTCGAGTTGATGTAGTGTATATGGAAGGAGACAATCTCGTTACGTGGTGTTGCTTGCTTCTGAGCATTGTTATTCTGTGATACAGAGACTAACGAGGACCATGTTTAAACCGTAGATAGCCAAGCTTAGTTGTGCATGTAGTAGTGGTAGTGGGGAGGCTAAGCCTGGCAAGAAGGCTACCTTTAGCCTTAGGCCAACACCAAGTGTACCAGCACTCCACTCCACATGTTTACTCACTGATCTGCGGAGCCTTCTTGATCTTTTGCAGAAAGTTAATTTCGGTCAGTATACATCTTGACTAACAAGGCCGATGGCATCGATATCCCATCCTTTAGGCTGCAACAAGGCCCGGAATGTGGAACGCAGTATTGTCCTCCTCCCAGCACATAGTGCAGATAGACTCCCTTTTCGCCCTTAGTAGAGAAAAGTGCCTGTTTAGTTTACAGTGCAGTAAGAACATCCACTAGAAGGAAGAGATTGAGTGATGCATCTATCCAATAGCCATCTGGAATGATGATCGTCTCATCCATAGCACACGACGTAAACGGGCATAGAATGGCAACAGACTGACTGAAACTAACGAAACGTAGGAGTAGGTAGGAGTATCAGCTTTCAGGGGTCGCCAAACTCTGTATTTTCTTCTTCATTCTCTTTCTTGAGGCCTCTCTGTTGTGGCCCTTTATCCACATTAGCTCAGTTGACACATGCCAGTAACAGAGTAGGCTTCCTTATTGTTTTTCATTGTAGTTAACTCGTAACTGGTGGCCATGTGTCTGAAAGACAGACCCTGCGCGAAATTCAAATTACTCCCACTCCCGGATTTAACTAGATTGTCGCTTGCCCACTTAGGTACCCCTCTAATAACTATTTTCAAGTCATACTTCGTTGTGTGTGCATCGCGAACTTTAACGAGAGAGTTTTCGTACGTTGTCAAATATTTCGCAGTGTCTGTGAGACCCAGCGTCACCATTTTCGTAATTTTTGAATATTGGCATCTTCAAGACAAAAAATACATGCAACTGATAAAGATTTCGAAACTATTGCGCAGCGATCGTACGGAGAAGTAAAAAGGGACTTTAGTGATCAGGATGATGATATACGAGATCCCGATTATTACAATGACCACGATTCAACTTCAGAAATAGAAAATTATGAAGGACTTATGGAAAAGGTGTGTGAGATGTAAAAAACCAGTTTGCTCACCATGTGTGGAAAAAATATGTGTTGAATATGCCAGGGAGTAACATTTTATTTTTTTTATTTACCTCAAGTTCAGGTGCTGTAGTTTTTAGGTATATATTTTTCTAAAACGTTTACATTTTTTTATTCCATGCTCTATCAATGTTGTTTCACCAAATCCGTATTATGTCTTTAAAAGAAATTTGATAAACTATGCTGTTCGACAAATATGTGGCATTTTTTTAGTTTTCCTGATTTGTTTTTAATAAATACAGATAGTCTTCAAAACATTGTTATTTGGCCTCAAAATACATTACAGAATTAGACAATATATAAAATTGAACTAAGTATATCTAAAATACATACAAGAACATAAAAAAATAATATGTGGGTCTAAGAGAACCAGCGTCACCTCTAACGTTACCCGAGTGATACGTCACCAGTTAAGGGTTAACGTCCAGACTTCGTTAGTCCTAGCAGAGGTTTGACATCTTTATGGCTTGCCCTATTAACCTGTGCTAGTGAGTGCTGTCTGTCAAATTTCTGGTAAATTAAAAATTACGGATAACAACAACCAAAAGTTCTACGTAAATTGTGTAAAAGATGACTACTTATCAAAAATCAAGTTTGACCATGGTGGTTTCAGAACTATGGGATCAAACTTGTTGGGGTTATTCAGCAACGCTGGCCTGTCAACGTATGGGCAGGCATTGTTGATGATTAATTGAATGGGCCATACCTTCTACCGGAACGGTTAACAGTACAAGTACGTGAGTATTTGGCTCAGCGGTTTGGGCACTGTTGGATTGCCAGAGGTGGAGCAGTTTCTTGGCCTCCTAGGTCACTCGATTTAATTTCGATAGATTTTTTTTGTGGGGACATGTAAAGTCTTTGGTTTACGGAACTCCAGTAGAAACAGAGCAAGACTTAATCGGAAGAACTACAGCAGCATTTGAAATCATTCAGAACGACTATCAAATTTTCAGTCAAGTCCGCTTAAATCGATGTATTCAGGTTAGAGGAAGACATTTTGAACAATTGTTGTGACGATATCATGTAGAACAGGCCAACACTAAATGCATTAAATCCTATTTATTCAATTCATTGTCTTTCTGAATTTTAAATCGTCTTAGGGTCGGAGTGCCGTAGAGACACCTTTCCGGATATGGGTCCCTACACTCTAATGTTTTCTACTGTTACACTGAATAACTCCTAGAAGTTTGATCAATTAGTTCTGAATCACCCTGTATTTCATCGAACTGCCAGAAGGATTGTTTCAAGATCATCAATTGGTTTTAAATATTGAGCTCACAAACCAAGTACTTGAATCTTCAAATAGATGTTCTTTGACATTATAAGCTAATTTCTCAATATCTCCAAAATTCAATATTTTCCAAAACTCAAAAACTCCAAAACTCCCGTTAGTTGATAACATTACAGAATTCCATAAACCCCTAAATTTCATCCAAGTCCTGAAACTTTCCAAATTCCCGAAATTTTCAAAACACCCAAAAATTACAAGATCTCCAAGTCTCCAAAATTACTAAAAATTCCTCAAATTCTCAGCTTTCAAAGATATCGAAATTCCAGATATATCCAAAATTCACGAAATTTCCAACATCTTCAGTTCCTAAAATTCACAAAGATTCTCTAAAATACTCAATATTCTGAAAATTCCAAAGGAAAATATTTCGAATATCCGGAGATTTCCAAAATCCCCAAATCAGAAAAAATGCATCGTGAGAACCATTTCTTATTCTACAGCGCAAATGCAGATTGAAATAGATATGAATTCTAGATGTATCCCTCGACGCTCCCAGCCTTCAATTTATCACACAACCTCCAACAAACAAACAAGATAACGCAAACAAGCAAACGTTAAACAGGTTCCTTTGAAAGGTGGTGAACGCGCTAATAGACTCAGGGAATGTGTACATTCACTTGCCGGACGGCCTCAGTGCGTTGCTGCATTTACGCTCCAACCGTTGTTGTACAAACCAAGCAAACATGAAAACACTTGTGGCGTCAACCTTTATCGTTGTTCGCATGAACGGGGCGTTTCTATGTTTTCACTTAATTAGCTAGCTATTTCGCAGGCCGAACAAGGCACGAATGATTGGTTTGGAAACTTACAAGGTGGTTGTCGTGGTATGTCTCGAACGAGACCGTTCACAAAGACCTCGATATTCCTTATCTAAGGGACTACATCAAACAACAAGCGCAGCTACGTTATAGTCAAGCGGAATCGCATAACAACCCTTTGTTGCGCGAGTCAGCAGACTACACAGTCTAGCAAGTTCATAAGCACACAAGACCGAGGCTCGCACTGTGAACAAAATCAAATCGTTCCAACCAAAATTACGATTTCTCCCAACATAAACGAGGGATGTCTTCACCTGTTGACTGAAGAGCAGAAAGAAGCCAGGGTTAATTCGTGTCAAAAAAGGCGTGACGGTTTCAATTCCGGAAACTCAAAACATGTGTACAGCATTCTTAGTGGTGATCAATCGTGGATTTACTGTTATGAACCAGAAAATAAACGACAGTTGGCTGTTTGGGTGTTCCAAGGTGAAGAAAAGCCAACAAAAGTTATCCGGTCTCGAAAAAGGTGGTCGCTTCATTTGTGACAAAAGCGGGTCATATTGCAACAATTCCTCTTAGTGAGCAAAGAACTGTTACTGCGGATTAGTATACCACCATTTGTTTGAAAAAAGTCATCACCGAGCTTCAAGAAATCAACCCCGAAGGAAGAATCATCCCCCACCAAGGCAATGCAAGCTCGCACACTGCCCAAAAAACAAGGCAGTATTTAAGGGAAGAAAACGTAGAATTATTGGACCATCCTCCATATAGTCTCGACTTCTTTGCTTCCCCGAAAATTAAAAACAGACTGTGTGGTCAAAGGTTCCAGTCACCAGAAGAAGCAGTCGACGCGTTCAAAAATGCCGGTTTGGATCTGCCATCAAACGAGTGGAATAAATGCTTCGAAAATTGATTCGAGCGCATCTTTTTTTAACGCTCCCAACCTTTTGACTCACCCTGTATACAACTTTCTTGACTCCCCTGTATACACTACACCTCACCTTATCGGACACACATCCGCATGCGAACGCCGTCGCGCCGATAACGCAAACCTGCAACCGTCCATCAGCTGTTTTATCTCACTTCCGCTGTGGAATGCCCTTAGCTCTACTACTCAGATATGTATTAATCTTCGTGGAGAATACTTCGAAAAACAATAAAGTCATTTAAAACTACCTACCGTGCTGTTTTATTTCCATATGTAAAACTTAAAAAACATCCCTCGTAAATTCCTAAATTACGCTAAGTTGTCTGAATTCAATTACTAAGGTGAAAAAAGTTCAACCTTTCAGAGATACTGAGCCACTTAGTCTTTTTAAAAGTTTCTTCTTTTTTATTGCAGATTTGCCTGTGAACCGGAACAAGGGCAGGGATTTGTAAGTAAAACAACGAATAAACCATGTTTCTATATTTGTGAAAAACGAAAATGGAATACCATTATTATTCTGCGTTTTTACCAAATAAACTGACATTTTACGGTTTTTCTGTCAATTTTGTTATTTAAAATTTTCTATTAGTGTCGTTCTTTCCAACAAATTCTGTTGTTTTGTGACCTTACACTTCTGTATTTTAACTTTTACTTAGTCCTGTGTCAGTATTCAACTGTGATCGATCAGTCTACTGCTATTTTTTTCTAAACTATTTGAACGCGTTGTTTACGAGCAGCACTGCGCCTACTTATATTCTAACAAAATTATTCCATCTAAACAATCTGTATTTCGACAAGGTCATAATACAGCTTCGGCACTCTGTGGTTTAACAGACAATATAACAATGGCACTTGATAACCAAAAAGCAGTAGCTCTCATACTTCTTGACTTTACTAAGGTACCATTAATCACTCACTTCTTGTGTCTAAATGCAGTTATTATGGATTTTCTGAAAAATCTCTTTCGTTTATTCAAACCTACCTTGAAAATCAGTTTCAAAAAGTACGTCTAAATCAACAGTACTCTACCGAATAAAAAATTTGTTCTGGTGTACCACAGGGATCAGTCTTAGGACCCCTATTATTCTCATTATATATCTCAGAGGTAAAATCATGCAGCATACAATTTTTTGCAGATGATACTCAAATTTTCTATTCATTTAGGAGTAATGACTTTGAAACAGCAAATAATAGAATTAATCGAGATCTTGCCCAAATTGAAAAGTTCAGTAGAAGTCATAATCTTCGTTTGAACCCTTTGAAGACAAATATGTTGGTATACGCAAAAAGATCAAAAAAGAATACTTCAAAAAGGGACATAGACATACATTTAAAAGGTAATAAGTTAGTTCCTGTGGATAATTCGAAGAACCTAGGTATTATAATGGATGATGACTTAAAACTTGTAAACTATCTAATTTCCCAGTGCTAATAAGGCTATATTACATAAATCTGCGAAAAAGCAATTGTGTGAATCTTTCTTGTTTTCAAAGATATCTTATTGCTTAGTGGTTTATTATCCCTTTTTAGATATTATATCAAAAAATCGTATTCGAAGTATTATGAACACATGTTGCAGACTTGTAGAAGGTCTCAGAAAGTACGATCATATATCGAGTGCCATTAATGAACACAAATGGATGAAAATTGATAAAATATATAAGTACCAGCTCCTAAATCTGAATCATAAGGTTCTTTGTTCAAAAACACCGTCATATTTAGTAAACAAATTCATACGTAGAGGGAATATGCATGGCATTAATATTAGATATAGAGAGACTTTTTCAATTTCACATCTCTATTTCAGAATACATATATTTAAAATGCGATCATCATATAATTCTTTAGGCCGCAGTTTAAAAGAAACCAATCCATTACCCAACTTCAAGAAAAAAGTGAAAGAAGTTCTACTTGATCAACAGCGAAATCTTTTGTAACCCATAAGTGGCTTCAAATTGTCATTATACCTTAACTTAGATTATACGAGTACTTTATTCTGTCGTTATTGTATACAGGTATCAATTTTCATTAAATTCTGTTCTTTTTACATCTCGTATTGTTAAGGGGGTTGGATGGTCGAATAGATATATTATCTAAATCTGGCCTCCTGTAAGAATATTACAAATAACAGACGTTAATTATTATTATTATTAATAGATGTAAAAATGACATAAAGCTGCTGTGTGGACAGACACAGGTAATGTTGCGCAGCTCCGAATAACTGAAGCATATTCTTGCGGACAAGCAGTGTGTGACCTGTTTCAGAAAAAGTTCTGACAACACTGGGCGCCGTTCAAAACGTTTAACATTCCACTATCCCTCCGGCAATGAGAAAAACAATACGAATGAGAGAAAACTCCCCACGGAATCAATCAGCTTGCGCTGGGCAATGCAATAAGCGTCCGAAACGTCCAACAAATGATCCGTCCACCGGCAGTAATGAGGGCGGCTGTATTTCCGTCGCATTTTGCATAGACATTGCTGACGAGTCATCCAGCGATAGTCCAGGCTCGGCGGGGTTATTACGTACAATAAACTTATATTAAGCCAAAAAGACGACATACAGTGGACCCCCGATAATCCGGACCCTGTCTAATCCGGCGCCCCCTGTACTCCGACATGTCTTTGAATATGTATTCGACAATCTTCGCCAATGTACAGGTTCCAACTTGTACGCGCCAACGCTATCGTGCTCGACGCGTAAGCATTGTTTTACTTTGTTTAAATTTGACTACTGGTGATAGCGGTACGGCCTAGCGTGCGTTCATTGTTTACTATTTATTCATTGTGTATTAAGTATAGTACCTAGTAATGTCATCACAAACTCAGAAGCGAAAGCACAAAACATTGAGAATTAAAGAAAAATGTGATGTTTTAGACCGCTTAAATCGCAATGAAACTTTCAGTAGTTTAGCAAGTGAATACGGCGTAGGCCGATCTACAATTTATGACATTAAAAGAAACCACGAGAAGATCAAGAAGTTCGTGTCAACTACTGACTGCGGGCCAGGCTAGAGACAGACACTCGAGAAAGCTGAACATCCAGAAGTGGAAGAATCTTTGTACATGTGGTATCTTCAGGAAAGGAATAGGCATGCACCAATTTCAGGACCCATGTTGGCCATGAAAGCTAAATTTTTTTATAAGGGAATAACAAAAAAATATGATTTAGTGGCCACCAAAGGATGACTAGCACGTTTTAAAAGTCGTCATGGCATACGTTTAATGACTATCACAGGAGAGAAACTGTCTAACGATGCCACCTGCATAGAGCCCTTTAAATTAAGATTTTTGCAAAAGGTGAACGATTTAAACCTTGACCCGTCACAGGTGTACAATGCAGATGAATCAGGGCTTTTTTGGCGTGTGATGCTAAACAAAACTTTCGTTTCTTGTAACGAAAAATCCGTACCTGGACGAAAATTAAGTAAAGAGCGTGTAACCATACTACCATGTGATGGTCATTGGGAACTCTAATAAACCACGGGCATTCAAAAACATTGATTTACCTGTACACTATTAGGGACAAAAAGTGCATGGATGACAAAAGACCTTTTCAAAAAGTGGTTTGATGAATGCTTCGTACCTGAAGTTAGAAAATGGTTAAGAAATCATAATTTTCCTCAAAAAGCGTTGTTGCTTCTCAATAGCGCTCCCGGTCATCCGTCTGAAGAAGAACTAACAACTGAGGATAAATACATCACTGCGATGTTTCTTCCGCCAAACTGCACTGCACTGATTCAACCAATGGACCAGAATATCATTCAGTTTGTCACGCAAGACTATAAGAAAAATCTACTTTTGAGAGCCGTATCAAAAGACCAACCTATAGAAAAAACTTTTAAAGCATTTAATATGAAAGACTTGGTTTTTGCTCTTTGTCAATCGTGGAATGCGTTACCGTCATCAACTATTAAATCGTCTTGGAAAAAGTTATGGCCAGATATAGTCACCACTCCTAGCAACGTTCCACAAATCAGTGTTACTTCGGAAGTTATAGAATAAGTCGCTACTGAGACACAGATGAGTCCGGAAGATTTGGAAATCTGGTGCCGTGGAATGGATGAAGAGGTACATTTTTTTCTTGAAATGTCTGACGAAGTGATGATAAAAGAGGTTTCTCATTATACAACAAACAATCAGGAAAATAACGACGACGTGATTGCAACTGCTCCACAAGTCACAGCACAAGACGCAATTAACGCCTTTGAGCTAGGTTTAAAATGGGCTGAAGAGAATGGTATATCCTACAACGAACTTTTATTTTTGAGAAGACTGAGGGACAAAGCTCTGATCTCGGGTTATAACAACCTTAAACAAAACAAAAAAATTAAGAATATTTCCAAGCTTGATAATTTGATAAATTCATCAATGATTTTGATTAATAATTCTTGATGATTTAGGTACATATGTATGTGCATTTATGCTTAATTTTATAATAAAACGTAAGCTCTCTATTGTTATTTAATTTACTAAATTCGACATACATAAACTATGTATGATTTGTACTTCAAAGTACATACATATACATAACATATATAATCTTACCATTGGATATGTAATTTGTCGCATTATGAGGTACTCTTTTGTAAAAAATTCCCGACTATAGGGGGTCTTAGGCAGTGCTCTATAATCCGACAAATTCGATAGTCCGACACTGATCTGCATAATGTTTGTCGGATTACTGTAATGTCAATTTGCTGCTAGATAGCTGGTAGTGAGCAAATTGTTCGATCCGCTCTTGCTCGCTGAGAACGCTGTGAACGTCATCAAAAGCGTCATCTATTGAGGAATGACTCCACTACATGCTGCAAGTCAGATTGTTAGCATGCTTTGTTGGTTGCAGAATGCCGAGGTCAACTGTGACGGAAGAAAATTGGTTGACCAGCAGAGCAGGAAGATCGGATCCGGATGTTTGTGTGTATTGGTCTGTATATGTATAAAATCACTGATATTTGCTGTGAAAATATTAATACAGAATATGCTGCTCAGAAAGTATATCCATTTGCTGTACCAAACGGGTTTCTTGTGTTGTCTTTTCTGAAGAGAGGTTATGTTCAAAGGATTTTCCCATTCTTTGCGTTTTCAAAAACTTTGAAAAGCATTACGGGAAATCCACACCACGCGTAATTAAGCACGATCACAGGAACGACGCATCACACACAAAACATTTTAGTAGTGCCTCGCATCTAGGCTGTGATTTGTATTTTCTACTTGACATCCCAAAAAAATTCTGCAAAAGATAAACGACTGTAAATAAAAAATAGTGTTAAATGTAACAACCTTTTCACGTGTCATAGATATTCCTGGCTGCAGCGTCATTATTGCGATCTAAAGTCGAATATCCTGTGATAAAAAATACTTCTATACATATTCCGTTTGATAAGGAAGAAATCTGCTCTAGTTTTTTAAGGTGGTTCAGTCAGATGTTCGCCTTGAGACGAAACT